GGGGTGTGCCCGGCTGAGAACAGGCTGCTGGCTTGGCTTGCTGCCCCCTTGAGGCCCTAGGATGAGCTCGGTGGCTGGCAGAGTTCCCCAACAGCCTTCCTGGATGGTCAGGCCTGGGTGGGGCTGGGAAGCATCTTCCCTGCCTTCCCTGGCAGGACGGCAGGACAGCAGCACAGCACCCAGGGCCTGCGTGGCTCTTTGTTTGGGAGCCAATTAGGCAAGAGTGTGCACTGAATATCCTGGTCATGGAGGCCTGCCTCCCTCCCTCTCTCTCTCTCTCTCTCTCTCTCTCTCTCTCTCTCTCTCTCCCTCTCTCTCTCTCTCTCTCTGTCACGCACACACACACCATAAACTTGACACCCGAAGACGGGAAGATAGTCTCTGATCCAGTGCCACTGGAGGCAGGGCTGTCAGAGGGCTGTGCAGCCCGTGGGCTCTGGTGAGGCTCCCCGGCAAGTGGCCAAGTGCTTTATTCAGCTTTAAACGGGGCTACAAATCCGTGTCCCTGCCTGGGAGCAGCAGCAGCTCCAAGGCCTCTGAGGCTCTTTGTGGTTTTAACTGAATCATCCCCACGTTTCCCGGCCAAAAGGGCTGCAGGCTTTGCTCTGGGGCAGTAGCCCTGCCCACCTGCCTCCCTGAGCAAGCCTTACTGGGTTCTGCTTCTCACCAGCCCTTCCTGTCGGAGGGGCCAGGAGCCGGCCCCCAGCTACTGAGGCTGTGACTGGGCGTGGGCAGTCCGGGCTCCAGGGCCAGCAAAACCCGTGTTTGAGGACCCCAAGCCCCTGGTCTGACTGCACCAGCACCTCGGCTCTGCACACGAGCAAAGCCACTGATGGGATGCCTGCTCGGGCCTGCAGGTTGGACCTGGTCTGCCGAGTCCAAGGCCGGGTGCTGGAGCCCGTCCCCTTCTCCGCCACAATCAACTTCCCGGAGGCTAAGCCCCACGCCCCCTGCAACTCGTCGGGCAAAACCAGAGCTCCCTGTTGCCTCTGGAGGAACCACAGGCTCAGGGGCACGCCTTGGTGTGCGACGCTGTCAGCCTGTGGCCACTGAGTCTCTGGTGCTGGTCTCACCGTGAACAGAGTCAGCTCCTTCTCTCACAGGGGAGGTCAGGAAAAACACACTGCCCTCTGGTGGCATGGCTCCCTCACGCGGTGCTGAGCGGTCCCGAGGACGCGCATGGAGTAACTCTGTGACCCTCACCCCGCTTTATAAGCCACTGCTAACCCGCTGGACAGACGTGCGCATCGAGGCAGAGAATGAGGCGGGGGCCCTTGCCTGGTTCCTGCCTCCTGCTTCTAGCCCACATGGACTCACCATGCTGTTCCATCCCCCTCCCCAGCAGGACCCCTTCTCCCTGATGCACTGCCCTCCGGGGCCTCTGTGGACACCTGCTGGGCAGCAGCCTCGCGGAAGTGCAGGCATGTGGACTGGAGACGCCAGGAACTGAGGCACCCACCGGGCTTCCAACTATCAGGACATTGTGACAGCCACATTCCCATCGCCACTGAGAGAGCTGGCGTGGGACTGGCAGCCCCACCCAGCACCCCTCCCACCCAGCACCCCTCCCACCCAGTACCCCTCCACTGCCCAGCACCCCTCCCATCCAACACCCCTCCCATCCAGCACCCCTCCCACCCAGCACCCCTCCACTGCCCAGCACCCCTCCCACCCAACACCTCTCCCACCCAACACCTCTCCCACCCAGCACCCATCCCACCCAGTACCCCTCCCACCCAGTACTCTTCCCCCTCCCGGAACCCCTCCCTGCCTGGGCACCCCTCCCTAGCCTGGCACCCCTCCCAGCCCAGCACGCCTCCCCCCACAGAATCCTCCCCACCCAGTACCCCCTCTCCCAGTACCCCTCCTCAGCCCGGCCCTGTCTCAGGCTCCGAATGAGGGTACTCCCCACACAGCAGAACCCTCCCTGAAGCTGAGGAGCCCCTGCCTCATCCCTGGACATGGATTCAGGCCGAGCTTTGGACCAGGAAGGGCACTCGCTCGGGTCACAGAGCCAGGAGGAGTCCTAAGGCCAGAGCGTCCTTCTCACCACTGCCGTCCTGTGTGGGCGCTTCCAGCAGCTGAGGGGTGGGGTGGGCACTATCTGACGGGAGTGCTGCTCCGGGGAGAAAGCAGTCCACGGCTCTCAAAGGGCTCTGGGGAGCCTCTGCTCCGGGGTCAGGACTCAGCCCTCCTGCAGCGGGAGGAGCGGCCTGCTCTCCCTGTCTTCCCATGAAATCTCCGGGAGGGGCTGATCCCTTTGTGACCATCCAGGAGGCACGGGATGGCCATGGACGGAGCGGCTTCTGCCCCATCTGAGCACCGAGCCTGTGAACATGCAGCTTATTCAAAACCAATGTCCTTGAAAACCTTTCTCAGACTCGGCCTGGACTTTTCCGAACCAGCTCCCGGCTCCGCCGCACCTGCCACCCGCTCACTCGGACAGCTCGGTGCTCCCGGGCCTCTGGTCAGACCAGTGGGTGCTGAGCGTCAGCACAGGCTCAAGGCTCCCCAGGCAGCGAGGGAAAGCCCTGGGGGAGGGGTGTTTGGGAGTCCTGAAAAAGTGCCTGTAAACCTTGGCAGGGGGGAGGGGGGGTGTACTCAGCTGGAAGCCACCTCCCTCCTGGGACCCGTCTTCACCCGCAGAAGGCGCAGAAGGCGAGGGGAAGACCGAGTGGCTGAGGTAGGGGCGGGAGTGCGGTGGCTGGAACCTGGCTCTCAGAGACACATGGGCCTGAGTGAGGCTGAGCTGCGGCCATTTACCCTCTCTGAGCCTGTTTCCTTATCTACAAAATAACGCCCACCTGGCCGGGTAAAAGGACCGCACGAGGCAACACGAACAGCACTGGCATCCAGGTGCCCCAGAAGGCTCCCTGCTTCCTTCCCTCCCTCAACCATAGTGAGTGGCCCGGGCCCACAGGAGCCGGGCCAGTGCGCATGCTCGCCTTGAAGCTGGTTTTTCTATGCAAACCCATGACACAGGGCCACCTCATGCTGGCTCCGAGCACGTCTGCTGCTGCAGATCCAGGAACGGTGCTGTGTGGGTGTTCACACCCCTGGAGGGGGTGCTCCCCAACTGCCTGCTTAGGACCCCCAGGGGCGGTGGGACAGGAGGAGGAAGGGAGCGGTGGAAGTCAGCACCTCCCAAGGCCGCAGCAGGGGCCAGGGGGCTCCAGGGCATAGGGCAGGGCAGGATCTGCCTGGTAGGGAGCTCAGCTACTTGCTCCAGGACCCCACACTTAAAGGGGCCAGAGCCTCGATTTCCTCACCCCTAGGAAGGAAGATGGCAATCCCCGCATCACCAGTGTGCTGTGATCACATCGGCTTCCTAGACAAGCTGTGAACATTAACGCTGTGTTATTGTTGTTGTTAATCCTCACCAGAAGATATTTTCCCATTAGTTTTTAGAGCAGAAGAGAGAGGGAAAGACAGAGAAACATCGACGTGAGAGAAACACATCCATTGGTTGCCTCCTGCACAAGCCCCACCCAGGTTCCAAGGAGGAGCCTGCAACCAAGATACATACCCTTGACCGGAATCAAACCCGGGACCCTTTGGTCCACAAACTGATGCTCTACCCACTGAGCCACAGTGGCCAGGGCTCCTTCCTCTGTTCTCACGAGGGAGGAGGCAAGACCCAGAGGACGCACGCACACAGCGGCCGTGTAGAAAATGGGCCAGCAGGTTTAATGGAGGCACAGACGGGCTTGTTACAGGGATGGGGCGACGCGTACGCTAGTCCCATGGATCAGCCACGGAACACGGGCTTGTTCTGTGTGGCAGGCTGAGCCGAGCCGCAGATGAAGGACTAAGAGGTCCGTGGAGGGAGAGGGAGGCTCGGTCTCTATGCACTAGAGGCCAGGGCAGCCCCACAGCTTTCCGGGCAAGAACAACCTGACACAGATGTCAGAGGACGTGTCGGGGGACCCCCGGGGCCGCTGGTGAGAGGGTGCAGGGGCCGTGCAGATCGGCAGTGGCTCCTGGGGCACACCCTCCCTCTACGGCCCCGCTCCGGCCCCACCCCGCCTCCTTAGACTGAGCCTCCGGGCTGAGCAGGGTGGCACAGAAAACAGGGACAGAAACAACATGTGGACACCCCCCCGGGGTGAAGGGCGAGAGGCCCCGAGCTGCCAGCTTCCCTGGCGGCTGTCGTCAGAGCTGTGTGCTGAGACCTGAGAAGCACGGGAGGGCTCGGGGAGCCCAGCAAAGGCAAGGGGCCCTGGGTGCCCCCATCCTCGGCAGGGCTGGGCCCAATCCTGAGGCAGTCAAAGGAGAAACAGAGAACTCAAAAAAGGGGATGTTTAAAAAAGTGGGGAGGAGTGAAGGAGGAGAAAAAGAAAGAAACGGCCTGAGCTCACGCGCCGAGGTATTGGAGAGACAGCGTCCCAGGCGCAGGCACCGGCACCGGAGACGGGACGCTGGGCTGCTCATGAGGAGGACCGGGTGTCTGTCACTGCGGAGCCCGGAGGCAGCGCGGGCTCACCTCCGCCCAGGGAGCCTGGCTCCGACATCAGTGCCTGCGATGCCCCGAAGGGGTGGTGTCCTCAGGCCTCAGACGTCCCCGTCAGCCTGCAGTCCGCTCTGGTCGCTGCAGGGGCGCACTGCTCTCAGATCTGCCATCCTCTCCACCAGCCCGCTTCCCCCGAAGATCTTCGTCCGAGGCAGCGGGCCGGCCCTCCTCGGCCGGGGAGATGGGGGCCACACGGCTGGGCCTCAGCAGCGGTGCACCTGCAGCCTGTTGTTCTCATCCAGGCTCAGCTGCAGGAGGCCCGGCGCTGCTGGCGTGGGCACGAAGCACAGAGGCCTGGCCACCAGGTGAAGGAGAACTGCGCGCAGCTGAGCACCAGGGAGGCCAGGGAGGAGGGGAGGAAGGGAGGAGAGGAAGGAAGAAAGGAAGGGCGGGCCAGGGGAGGAAGGGCCAGGGGAGGAAGGGAGGAAGCCAAACAAGATAGTCCTCGGACCCCCAGGACCCTAACAGCCGCAGCCCAGCTCAGCACCGGCTACAGCAGGAAGGGGCCGGGGCCGGAGAGCTGGCTGAAAGGATATAACTTGGGGTCACTCCTGTAGCGGTCCAGCCACCGCCGGTTAGCCTCGATCATGCCCTGCAGACCGGCGCTGCCCGCCTCAGGGGCGTGCGAGAGGGGGTGCTGCAGGAGGCGGAGCTGCTCCCTGGAGGAGGAGGCAGGCCGGAGGCCAGGGGAAGCCTGTGACTCGGGACCACAGGAGCACAGGCCCCTTCCTCCGACATCAGCTCCAGGCTGGGCTGTGGGGCTGCTGCAGCTACTCAGCTCGCCCACTGGCAGGAGGCCCTGGGGACTGCCTCTCCCAGGTGGTACTCCTGACACCCACACTGGGCTCCACGCCCACAGATCCTGGCCCATCTCAGCGTCCCCTCCCACTGGTCAGAGGGGTGAAAGCGCTAATGGTTGGGGCCTGTGTGGGAGACACGTGGCAAGAAGGCTGTGAGAAACGCTGGCCCATGTGTCTCCCCAACAGGGTGCCCCTCCTCCAGATGCTACTCCCAAAGACAGAGGCCGGCTCCAGGCTGAGCTGGAGGGCCACGGAGACCGTGCCAGGGGCTGCCAGGGCTGCCTCCTCTCCTGAGGGCACTTCCTCACGGAGCTGGGCTCCGGGCTCTCCTCTGCGGTGTGGAGGGGCGGCTGGGACCCAGGCCCACCGGAGCCCCAGGGCTGCCGGACCTTGAGCTCTGCCCCCCTCAGAGGTGGCGCCAGAGCTGCAGGGAGTCTTACCTGGCAGACACGTAGCCCAGCCTGTTCTCCAAGGGGGCAGGGCTGCTGCAGAGGCCGGGGCTCCCAGCTGGAAAGCAGGAAGCAATGGCTCAGGACAGGGGTCAGCCGCCCCTGCTCCCCAGCACAACAGAAAAGGCAGCCCCCCCACAGAGAGGCCCACCCGGGGAGACCTGCAGCAGCTGAAGTGCAGGTTGGAGACGGAGTCACCCTGCCCATTTCATCTCCAAAGTGGAACCCACTTTTGTCTCCGTTTCCAGGTGCCTCGATTCCCAGTCAGGGCACCTGCCCGGGTTGCAGGCTTGACTCCCAGCGTAGCGCATGCAAGAGGCAGCCCATCCAAGTTTCTCTCTCATTAATGTTCTACCTCGCTATCCCTCTTCCTTCCCCTCTCTCTGAACATCAGTAAAAACATTTTAAAAAAACAAACGACAATCTCAGAGGGTGATAGGCCTAAAGGAAAGCTTTACGTGAAACACCGGCTAAGGCACAGCTCCCGGGCGCTCCTGATGGTGAGACAACAGCCTCCAATCTGTGCGCTCAGAAGCCATCAGTCCCCAGGGGCCCACGGAGCCGGTGCTGGCCCAGCCAGGCCTGGTCCCCAGGGGCCAGCCATCGGAGCAGTGACCCAAAGCTGAGGAGGGGGAGGGGGAAGAAAGCAGAGGAGGAGGGGAGGCTGGGCCCAGAGTGCAGGCAGGCGGAAGCTCACCTGGGAAGTACTTGCGCCACTTCTCCACCAGGAAGTCATCCACGGCCTGCGTGGCGGAGGCGGAGGAGGAGAGCCGGGGGCCCAGCCCCGGGTCCCAGGCCCACTGGGTGGGGGTCCTCCGGACGGAGGGGGGCGGGGGCGGGGGCGGGGTGGACGTGAGGAGCGGGGGTGGCTGCGGTGGAGGCGGGGGCGGCGGGGTGCTGAGGACCCCCAGCAGGCTGAGGACCTGGTGCAGCTGGCTGCTGATGCTCTGCAGGGAGCTGTCCAAGCACCGGAGCTTGTGGGGGAAGGCAGGGCCGGGCAGAATGCCTGAAAGGGAAGAGGCAGGAGGTGAGGGCCCAGGCCCTGCGGGCACCTTGGCTCGGCGGAGGGAGGGCCCTGTTCCTGCCAGAGCCGAAGTGGCTCCTCCTCGCCCAGCACCCGCCGAGGACCCGCCGAGGACCCGCTCAGACACGGCTCCCAGAGGCCCGCACAGCGCCGAGGAGGGGCGGCCGGTTTCCCTCTCCGCGGAAGCCCGTCCTTCCCCCGCTGCCCTCCCGCTCCTCCCTGCGGCCACCGCTCACCCTGAGGCAGGGGACAGGAGTCTGAGCTTCCACTGTTAGTGTCTTCCGAGTCGCTGAGGTCAAAGGTCACCACCTTCTTGGTGGGGGGCCCTCTCAGAGTGTCCCCATCCAGAGCCTGTGGGTAGAAGCAGCAGCTCCTGCTGGCCCTCCCTGTGCCTCTGCCCACTGGCTTTGTGCTGGAGACAGCCCAGGGCACCCCCTGAGGCTGCCTCGCCGGTGGGGGTGGGGGGGGGGGAGGGCTAACAGAACTCACCAAACCCACCTGAGACGCGGGCAGGCAGGCCGCCAGGCCCAGGCTGGTGCCCACCCTTTGCCCCCCAGTAAACTCGCCCTGCAGGGTCTCCCCACCCTCCCAGGGCATCTCCCCCCGGAACACCTGTCCTCAGGCCCCGCGGCCGGGGAAGGCCCAGGGCCAGATCTTCTCCCAAGAAGCTTCAGCAAGGAGCTCCGGGCCTCTCAGAGCCGCGCAGCACAAATAGCCCAAACCAAAGCTGAAGCCACGCGTTCCCCGCCCGGAGCCCTCCCGGCTGCACGGCCAGGGCTCACCTCGGCCCGCAGAGAGGCCTCCAGCTCGCTCAGCCTCTCCTCCTTCCTCTGCAGCAGGCTGCGGCCTCTCCGCATGGCACACTGCATCTCCCCCAGGTGCCGGGCCTCCTGCAGCCAAGGCGGGGGCACCTGAGTGACCCACGACGCTGGGCCCAGCTCGCCCTCTGCTCGCTGGGTCACCGTGAAAACTCACTTCACTCTCAGTCTAGATTCTCATCCAAGAGAACGGCTCCATTCTGTGGGCCCGGAGATCACCTGAGCTACAGTACGCCACCACCGGGCGCTGGGCGTGAAATCAGAGACGCTTACTGCCCTCTTCCCCCAGCAACGGGGTAACGCTGCCCCTAGCACATCACCTGCGGTTTCTGGGAGGCCAGGCGGTTCCATCAGAGCGTCCTGCACCCAGTGCCCAGCTCGCGAGAATCTCCACCACACACACACACACACACACACCCCGCCCACAGCCCAGAGCCTCAGACTGGACATCCGCCCTCATGGGTCCCCACAATGAGCAGTGGAGGGCACAGCCGGCTCCCAGCCGCCCTCGCCGGGCCCAGACTGTCCTCCAGGCTCGGACCTCCTCCAGGCTCTTGTGCACGTCGCCGCCCAGGGCCTTGGTGCCCAGCAGGTCCTCGGACGCCTCCGGAGCGGCCAGCTCGCGGCCCCAGTGCTGCTGCGCGGCTTTCAGGGCCGCCTGCCGCCGGCGCATGGAGCGCGTCTGTCGCACCAGGAAGGCCTTGGCGCTGCGGAGGGCCGCCCCCTCGGTGGAGAGGTAGTGCCGGAAGCTGAAGGAACAGGCGGGGGAGGGAGTGAGAGGGCCTCAAAGACTCCGGAGCCTGCTCTGGGCCACTCCAGCTCCTGGCAGACACGCACCCTGAGCAGAATGTGGGCGGGGCGGGGCAGGGCCGGGTGGGGCGGGGCAGGGCTGCAGAGGATAGGAACTCCACTGTCCCGTCAGCCTGACCCTCAGCCAGGCATCAGCAGATGCCAGCCTGCCGTGCCCACAGGCCAGGCGGGCACTGTCGTCCCTGAGCCATGCCCACAGGTGACTGCCATGACTTCGCTTCACCCGGCCTAGCCCCAAACAGGACAGGCCATGGACGCACCTGTCCAAGGACGAGTCGGCGGCCTCCGGGCTCGGGGAGACAGCAGGGGGTGCCTCTTTGGTCTGCTTCTGAGGACACAGGAAAACCCGCTGACCAGGCCAGCAGGGGCACGCAATCTCCAGGCCTGAAACCCTCCCAGAGCCGACACCCCGGCCTGCTGAAGGGGTGCACTGTTCACCCGAGACCCTCCGACTATGGACGTGAGGAACAGTAAGGACAGGAGCTGGAGGCCCAATACAGAGCAGAGCCCCGCCCCTCCTGGGGTCCCATCCCCCAACGCCCCCCCCAGCCATCCTGTCCCTGCAAAGGCCAGAGCTGCTCACGGTGCCAGGGGCTGTCCTCAGGTCCTCGATATGGAGGTCTGGCTCACAAGAGGGGGAAGCACGGCTCGCCTCGGCCGCCAGCCCTTTCAGCGCCTCCTGCTTCCTCTGAGCTTCGGCCTCCAGCTCACTGCGGGTGGGGGTGCAGGAGGTGAGCAGCTCCCTGGCGGGCTTGGAGCCCCACCCAGATAGGAAGTAAGACCATCTCCATCCCTTCACTCCCGGCCAAGCCCCTGAGGCAGCGCTGGGGCTTAAACAGTGAGACCAGGACCCCAGCCGCTCCCACCTCCTCACACCTCTCACCCCTACAGCAGGCAGCAGAGCCTGGCTCCAGCCCTGCCTGGGACAGACAGGCCGAGCAGCGAGTCAGAGGGCACCCACCTGATGCGTTTCTGCAGCGCCTGGGCCTGGGCCTGCAGCTGGTCCACCTGGGCCTCCAGCTCCCGCTTGAGGGCCCGCAGCTCGCCCAGAGTTCTCCGGAGCTGCCGGTTCGACTCCAGCAGGTGCGTGTGCTCCTGCTTGGCCTCGTCCAGGTGCTGCTGGGTGGCTGTGGCTTCCTGGGCAGAGGGAAAGACAGAAGCACCTGGAGAAAGAGGGAGCGAAGGCAGGGAGCCGAGAAGCCCCAGGACAGGGCCCAGCGGGGCCCCCACACCAAGGTCCTCCCGCTCCTGCCGGCCCCGCTCCCTGGCACCCGGTGCTGGCTTCCCCACAGGGGGCTGCTGGTGGAATAGCCCAGCCTGCAGAGACCCCGCAAACAAGAGGTGGAGGTGGGAAAGAGAGGGAGGGGAGACAGGGAGGCCAGGTGAGGAGGCCGCCTGCCTCTTCAGGCCCACAGCTGCCTCTCCTGGGGCAGCCTCCTCCTGAGGGAGGGGACGAGCCTGGGCCACCTCCAGGCCGCAGGGCGCAGGGGCAGAAAGGCCCATCCTCTCTTGGGGGAACCATGTCTCCAAGGTCAAGGGCACCTGGGGACCCTCCACCCCCACTCCCTCACCTGAGCGTCCAGCTGGGCCAACCTGGCCTTGACCTCTTTGGCTCTGGTTTCAAGCTCCACCTCTAAATCTTGAAGTTTCTTTTCCTGCACAGAGCAAAGGCAGAGAAAAAGATGTACGTGCAGAAACGGTGCGAGGCATTAGCTGAGGGGCAGGAGGGGTCCTGACCCCCAAGCCATGGCATACCTCCAGATAGGCTCCCGCTCCCTGCCAAGAGCCCACCTCTTGTTTGTGCCCAGGGTGGGCCAGGAGCAGCAGAGGTGCCAACCCCAAGGTCCTAGAGGGGCTGACCCCCTTGGCCCAGAAAACAAAGGGGCACCGATGTGCCAGACCGGGGTCGGCTGCGAACTCCCTCCCGCAGCGCCGGCCTGCTGCCCCAGCTGCTCCGCCCACACGGCCGCGCCACACCACCGCTCAGGGCCCACCTGCTCCCGGTGCCGCAGCCCCAGGCCCTCCAGCTGCCTGGCCTGCTCCTGCCTCACGGCCTCCAGCTCCCGCTCATGGGTCTGGTGCAGGCGCTCCAGCTCCCCAGTCAGGTGCCCCAGCAACTCGGCCCGCTGCGTCCTCTCCTGCACAAAGGGGGGCCGCCAATAGGAAACCGCAGCCCCTCACCCCTGCCGCCTCCTCAGGTCAGTAAGGTCAGGGACCCTGCCAGTGCCCCAATGCTCCCCCGGAGAGCAGAGCAGGCAGTGTGGTGAGGAAATGCCTGGGGAGCCTCCTACAGCTGCTGCCTCCCTCGGGGAAGAGGCCGTTGGTAAGCTCCCCCTTCCCAGCAGCAGGTCAGGGCTGGTTTGGGAAGGGAGTCAGGTCCGCCATGGCCCGCTGGTTCTGCCCAGGAATACGGCACAGAGAGTCTGGGATCCGGGGTCCCTGGAGCCGCAGCATAGAAGTCCGGGCAGAGGCCCAGCCGTGGGCCAAAGTCAGCCACGGCCACTGCCCACAGATAGTGCAAGCCATGCCAGGCAAACGACCTTCTCCACCCAGGCCAAGGCTGGAGATGGACACCTGACATCTGCCGGCTGTTTGGCTCCTGCCAGGCTATTTCCTGGTGTCCTGGGTTCCCACAAGTCCTGGTGGCAGGGTCAGGGTGGCCAAGGCTGAGGCTTTGGATTGGACAATCCAGGCTTGAACCCTCGCTCCTGCCTGTCAGCCACGGGTGGGGGAAAGTGGCCCACGCTCCCCAACTCTCCGTTTCCTCACTTTTAAAGTGGAGGTAATGGCAGTACATATCCAGGGGGTTGAGGGCGGAATGAGCTAATCTAGGCCAAGCACTGAGAATAGGCCTGGCAGGCGACCCACGCTCAATGCCAGTGCCATCGCCACGAAGGCAAGGGCAGCCTGCCCAACGAGGGGCCCTCCTCACTGATGGCTGAGACACCATGGGACTTCGCCAGGGCGGGGCCAGGGAAGACAACCTCCCACAACACTCCTGGCCTCCCTTCCCCGGCCTCCAGCCAGCTGGCCAGCGCCCATGCCACCATGTGCCTGTGGGGAGGGCGTCACCTCGGCTTCATACTGCTCTCTGGCCTCCGCCACGGTCTGCCGGTGCTCCTCCTTCATCTTGTCCATCCTCCTCTCGTGTTCCCGTTCCACCTCCCGGCGCTTCTCTCTCAAGAGGCCACTGAGCTGCAGGGCAGGCGGCAGGATACAATGGGGGACTGAAAGGGCAGCACGCAGCACCCCCCTAAAGCTCCCCACACACACAGGTGCAGGACATGTGATGGCCACACTTCCCTCCACCTCCCACATGCAGGGCATGGCATGCAGAAGCACTGCCTCGAGGGAACCGGGCTGTGAAACGGGAGCGAAGTGCCAAAGTGAGAAGGACCCTCTGGGCCAGGGTGGCTCAGTGGTCAGAGCACCCACGACAGTACCTGAGCCAGGTGCAATACCACACGCACCTCCTGCTCGTACTCCTGCAGCTGGCGAGATCTCTGCTGCGCCCACCCCCGGCTCTCCTGCTGCTGGGCCTCCTCCTTCTGCTGAACTTCCTTTACCTCCTTCTGCAGGCTGGAGACCGCCTAGGAGGGCCCCGGGGGTGACTCAGAGAGACTGGAGTGGCCAGGGGCCCCACTTCCCAGGGACCTGGTGCCCCTCCCACAGGCTGCAGTGGGAGAGGCTGCCTCCCTCGTGTGGCCACAGGGGTCTGAGCGTGCGCTCAGGGCCACAGCCCAGGCTCTGCCCGCAGGCCAGGCCCGGCCCCTACCTCTCTGTGCTTGGCCTCCAGGGAGGACAGGAGCCGCGCCAGCTCAGCCCTGTGCTCTGCCTCCAGTGCTGCTGCTGCCTGGGGAGCAACGAAGGGCAGTGAGGGATGCTGGGCAGAGAAGGCTGCTGGGCAGCGACCCAGACCCAGGAGGGGCCAGGCACACCAGCCCCAACGCCGCGAGCTCAGGGGCTGAGAGCGCCTCGGGCACGAATTCCTTCTGCCAATACAGCTCAGCCCCTGACGCCTGCAACCAGCCGACAGACAGGCATGTGGGCAGTGTGGAGGGCACCAAGGTGGCCCCGGCCACTGCTGCCACCCTGCCTCTGGGTGCTCGGGGACACTCCCGCCGGGGAGCGCAGCCAGGCGGGGAGGCTACAGGTTTTGACCCCACGCCACCTGCTGGTCTCCTGGTCTCAGCTGAGGCTCTATCCCTCACCGAAAGGAAAGAGAAGCCCCTCAGCCTGGCTGTTACTCACTTCAGCCTCTCCCTGGGGACAGACCCTCACACCAGAGGGATGGAGGAAGAGCAAAAGACAACTTCCTGAGCTCAGCGAAGGCAGGAGAAGAGGAGGGTGGAAGGTCACCGCATGTCCCCTGAGACAAGGACGGGGACGAGGCACAGGCGTCTCAGGACCTCTGCTCTGGCTGAAGTTCTCCCAGGAATGAAGTCTCCCCAAACCACAGCCATCTCCCCTCGAACTTCCTCCCAGCCGTGGCAGCACCCAGGCGCCAGGCCCAGCAGCCCCCCGGAGCCTCTGCTCCGCTCCCTGCAGGCCAGCTGGGTCACGTGGAGCAACGGGCCCAGAGTCTGCACCCCATCTGTGCGGACCACACTCTCCGCCCAGCGCCCACCTGCGTGCCCAAGGCCGGCTCTCCCTCCGCACCCAGTCCCTCCGCAGGCAGCCCAGGCCGTGCGGTGCCCTCAGAGAGGAAGGTCCCGCTCTGCTTGCTCACCTCTTCCCTCTCCCCTTCCAGCTGCTCCCTCCGCTGCTGCCGGGCCTTCTCCTTCTCGGCATCCAGGACAGCCTGCTCCCTCCTCTCCGCAGCCTCCATCTCTCCCCGGAGCCGCTCCAGCACGCGCCGGCTGCCCTGCTCCAAGCTGGCCCGCTCAGCCTCCTGCAGGGCCGTCAGCTCCTCTCTCAGCCTCTGCAGGGAGGCCTGGTGCTCCGCCCTGGGCAGGCGGAAGGGAGTGAGGAAGGAGCTGCGCCCTCAGGGTGGCTGCGGGGGCTGGGCAGCTCCCCGTGGGCACTCACCTGATCCGTTCCGCATCTGCCTCTGCGCTGGACTGGACCTGGGCCCGGAGCCGGGCCAGCCTCTGGCTCTCCTCCTCTCTCATCCGCGTGCCCTCCTCCTCAGTGGCCTTCTGCAGCTGCTCCTGCAGGAGCCTGGGGAGGAAAGGCAAGGCGAGGGTGCTGAAGGCCCACGGGCTCGGCCCTCTTCCAGCAGTATCCCGGCTCTCAGCTCACACGCCTGTGGCCTGCTGGGAAGTTTCTGAAATCTTTCAGGGGCGCTGGCCCAGCCTCTGGTCCTGCTGCCTCCCTACACCTCCCAGGGGAGGGGGACGGTGAACTCCCCTGCCCTTTCCTCAGCAAACAGATCACAGGCCGCCTGATCCCCGACCAGCGTTTCTCCCCGGCTCCTTCAGGTCCACCCCATCTGACCCTGGCCTGACCCTGGTCCACATCTCTCTCTCTCCACCCGTCGGTTCTGCTCCAGCCACGTCAGTTGAGCCAGGGTGAGTGTTAGGTTTAGGGATAGGGCCTGCGTTAGGGCTAGGTTTAGGGTTAGGTTTGAGTTCTTAACTTCTCTAAATAAAGCATGACCATTCTTTATACACACTTTGTTATCTCAGACAAAAAAATAAGTCTCTATCACTTTAGATATTCTGTCCGAGAGGGTAAGATTTTGTTAAATTGCCAAGTACGTGAATTATATTAACCTCTTTCTATTTCACCTCTCCCATCCTGGGACTGTGACAGACTGCTTATCAGCTCCTCAGCAGTCATTCTCCCACTTTTCTTTTTTCTTTTTTCTTTTTAATTAATCTTTATTGTTCATATTATTACAAAAGTTCCTCATTTTTCCCCCCTCCACCAGGTTCCCACCCCACCCTCTGCCCTTTCCCCACCCCCCATTGTCCTCATCCATAGGTGCACAGTTTATGTTCAGTCTCTTCCCGCATCCACAACTCCCCTTTTCCCCGAGAATTGTCAGTCCACTCCCCTCCCGTATCTCTCTCCCACTTTTCTTACTAACATGGTTCCTGAGGCTGGTCTGCCCAGAGGATACCCTCGTTTATTCTATCAGGTAAAGAGGCCCAGCTAAAGGACTACATTTCCCAGTCTCCTTTGCAACAGGGGTAACCAATGAGATTTAGGTGGAAATTATTGGGTAAGGTTTCCAGGAAAACTGCATTAATGGGACTGAAGGAACTAGGAAGTACCCTCTTTATACTCTCCCCTGTCCTTCCGGCCTGGAGCACAGACGGGATGGCTAGAGAGCCAGCAGCTATGCTGGACTGAGAAGAGACCCTGAGAGTAAAACCAGCACTAACGCAGCAGAGATGAAAGAAGACAACCAGGATGCCCCTGTGCCATCCCAGGACTGCCTTTTCTCACAAAAATCACCTCTAGCTTGTTTATACTTATATAGTCAAACCTCATCTCCCACCTCCAACACTTCAGTTCTCGATCAAGTTGTTCACAGACAAAAAATATCTCGGTTGTCAACCAAAACTTCAGTTTTTGACCTGACAACCCTTTCATGCTGATACCTCCGCCAAACAATAAGCAAAAGAGAGAATGTTTTTGTTGCTGGCCGATTAGCACCATTTTAAAACATAAAGAGGCCATCAAGAGGGTGAATGTTGCCTGGCCAGTGTGGCTCAATGGTTGAGCTTTGACCTATGAACCAGAAGGTCATAGCTCAATTCTAGTCAAGGCACATGCCTGGTTGTGGGCTCAATCCTTAGTGTGGGGTGTGCAGAAGGCAGCCAATCAATGATTCTCTCCATCATTGATGTTTCTATCCATCTCTGAAATCAATAAAAATACATTTTTTTAAAAAGAGTGCTAATATTGCTAAGGGTGTGAAAGTACTCACAAAACAGCAATCACAGGCAATTGAAGAGATGGAAAAGCTGTTGTTGATCTGGATAAAGGAAAAGCAGGGAGCCTGTGACAGCATTTCAGAGGCAGTGACAGATTAAAAATTCCTTTAAAGCTAGTAGGGAGTGGTTTGATGAATTTAAGAAATGTTTTATTTATAGACTAGAGGCCCAGTGCATGAAATCGTGCAGGGAGGGGGGTCCTGAGCCCAGCATGCACCTTCTCCAATCTGGGACGCCTCAGGGGGTGTCTGACTGCCGGATTAGGCCTAAACTGACAGTTGGACATCCCTCTCACTTCCGGGACCACTGCTCACCTACCTGCCTGCCTGCCTGCCTGATCACCCCTAACTGCCTCTGCCTACCAGTCTGATTGCCCCTAACTGCCTTCCCCTGCCGGCCTGACAGCTCCTAACTGCTTCTTCCTCAGCTTTGTCCAGAAGGACATCCAGAAGATGTCCAGTCTAATTAGCATATTACCCTTTTATTAGTATAGATTAAACAGTAATTGGACGTGTACTATGTATAAGAAAGGTGGAAACGGAATCAATCATTTGGGGTCTGAAACGGGTTACTTCCATTCACATTATTTCTAATGGGAAAAGAGGGTTCCGTTTTCAAACAAATGGCTTCTCAAACAGCTTTCTGGAATGAGGTTCTACTGTACACATACACACACACACACACACACGCGCGCACACACACACACACGTGCACACACACGCACACACACACAGGTCTGGCCAGGCTTAAGGGTCTTATTTGTGTAAGGCAGTGCTCAGCAAACTCATTGGTCAACAGAGCCAAATATCAACAGTACAACAAATGAAATTTCTTTTGAGAGCAACATTTTTTAAACATAAACTATATAGGTAGGTACATTGTTATTAACTTAATTAGGGTACTCCTAAGCTGGCCTTTGCTAAAAGCTCAAGGGGGTCGCCGAAACCGGTTTGGCTCAGTGGTAGAGCGTCGGTCTGCGGACTGAAAGGTCCCAGGTTCGATTTTGGTCAAGGGCGTGTACCTTGGTTGCGGGCATATCCCCAGTGGGGGGTGTGCAAGAGGCAGCTGATCGATGACTTTTTCTCATCGATGTTTCTAACTCTCTCTATCCCCCTCCCTTCCTCTCTGTAAAAAATCAATAAAATATATTTTTTTGAAAATTTTTTTAAAATAAAATAAAAGCTCAAGGGGCCAAAGAGCCACACGTGACTTGAGAGCCACAGTTAGCCAACCACTGGTCTAGGGCCTCCCAGCCAGATACGCAGAGAGCAGGAACCCAAACAGAAACCTGTGGGCCCTGGGCAAGAGCTTTCCCACCAAACCAGGTCCCGCAGGGCCCCGACTCCCCAGGAAGTGAGACCATGGGTTCAGAGATTAGCCTCTGGCTACTAGGAAGAGGCTCTGCTGTCTCAGCTTCCAGACCTGGGACAGGGGACTTCACCTACTGGTGCCTCCATTTCTTTCCCTACATTCCACATTCTATAAAACGGGTTGATAATAACACCTCGTAAGAGCTATTCGGAAGGCTAACAAAGGCATAGATATAAAGCACATGGAGCCCGGCCAGGGTGGCTCAGTGGTTGACCATCAACCTATGAACCAGGAGGTTACCGTTCGATTCCCGGTCAGGGTTGTGGGCTCCATTGCAGTAGGGGGCGTGCAGGAGGCAGCCAATCAATGAGTCTCCGTCATCATTGATGCTTCTATCTCTCTCCCCCCCTCCCTTCATCTCTGAAATCAATAAAATCTATAGGTATATTTAAAAAAATAAATAAATAAAAATAAGCCGAAACTGGTTTGGCTCAGTGGATAGAGTGTCAGCCTGTGGACTGAAAGATCCCAGGTTGGATTCCGGTCAAGGGCATGTACCTTGGTTGCGGGCACATCCCCAGTGAGGGATGTGTAGGAGGAAGCTAATCGATGTTTCTCTCTCATCCATGTTTCTAACTCTCTGTCCCTCTATCTTCCTCTCTGTGAAAAATCAATAGAATATACTTTTTAAATAAATAAATAAAAATAAAGCACATGGGTCAGTGCAGTCTCTCAAAAGGTGCCAGCTACTTTTATGACCACGCTTCCCAACTCCCCGCCAAAGACAGGTGGCTCGGGAGCCCATTCCTCCACACAGGCCGGAGCAGGATCCTGGAGAGGCCACAGGCACCCTGTGGGCCCCACAGGGAGGGGTGGGTCCCTCCCCACAGGACCTGGCGGCCCTGCAGCTTGTCTGGGGAGGGGGGTCCCCACACCTCAGAGACTCCTCTTTCCGCTGTTGAAGCTGGCGCGCCTCCTCCTCCTCCTCCTGCTGCAGCCTCTGCCGCAGCTGCTGCAGCTTCTCCCGCCCCAAGTCCAGGAGCCGCCTCTGCTCTTGCTCCAGTTCCTGAGCCACCGCCTCCTCCAGGGCCTTCCGGGCGGCCTCTGGGCGCTGCTCTGGGAGAGCCACGAGCTCTGGAGATCGCCTACCAGGGGAGGGAACAGTAGTCAGTGTCAATACCGCCCGCCTTCAGCACCAGGCCGATAGAGCCACGGGCCATCACAGCCCTCATGGAGGGCCTCCATCAGGAACCACACATGCAATTCGGGTCCCCCAGGCGGGCAGGAGCTACGCCCTCAGAGGTGCAGGCAGCATCCGTTCTACAGGACAAGCCCCACGTGGCTGGCTAAGGCCCCGAAGCCCAGGGAGAAGGGCAGCGCACAGCAGGCCTGTAGCGGAGATGAGGCTCCCAAGCGGGCAGCAGAGGAGAAAGGGAAGCGCTGGCCCTGACGATTCCTCCCGCGTGGCCCAAGCCCGCCCTGTCCCTCCACTGGGGCTCCCGCCGTCAGTTTGGAAGTCCACAGAGGCGGTTCTTTACCTCCCAAACTGCACAGAGGCCAACGCATAGGAGCCAGGGGATGCAGCAGCATCCCTCCCAGAACAGTCCACAGAGGCCAGGGACGGGAAACCCTACCCCACTGCCCAGTGAGCCAGGCAGGGGACCACCCCTAAGCCAGAGAGAGAAGCGGAGCATAGCAGACACCAGGCTCCAGAGCTCCGCACAAGGATGCACGTTCATCCACTGAGAGGAATCCATGTTTAAAAGTAGATCAGAGTCCTGGCTGGTGTTCCCAGTGGTTAGTGTCAGCTCACACACCAAAAGGGTCTCAGGTTTGATTCCAATCAAGAGCATGTACCTCGGTTGCAGGCTCAATCCCTGGCCCTGGTTGGGGCTCATGTAGGAGGCAACCAATCGATGTGTCTCTCACATCAATGTTTCTCTCTCTCCCCATTCCTTCCACTCTAAAAAAAAAAAAAAAAAAAAAAAAAAAAAAAAAAAAAAAAAAAACATCCTCAGGTGAGGAGTAACAACAACAAAGGGTAGAAGAAACTCAGAGCTAAGCCGGTGCATATGGTGGGTGGTAGGAAAGGACGAAGGCTATCGGTTACAAAGATGCCTACAGATTATCGAGGCTGCTTGTTGCTTGCACTCTGGTTCTGAAAGAAGTACCCAAAGAGAAACCCCAAGAGCATTTAGAACAACGAAAGCACAAGCGAGATAAAGTGTTTAGCCTCTCAGAGCCATTTTCCTAAAAGCCAGCAGCACGCATTTGCATTCCCAGGTCCCTAAATCTCACGTTAGAAATTGCTCTTGCCACCCGACCACCACCTCCTCCCACAGTGCTCGGCCTGGCAGGGCCTCCCTCCCACCCCCCTTATTCCCTCCCCCAACAACCTCAGCAGCATGTGGCTGGCCAAAACCAGAGCAGGAGCCACTCCCCACTCCCGGCTGGGTCCCAGAGCCCTCCTCCCTCAGCCCTAGCCCTGCAGCGATGGAGGGCGGCCAGGCGGTTAGGGGGGCAGGTGACAACAGGCCTTTGGGACAATTCCCTCTCGGCCCGAGACCACAGAGAAAAGGGAGGCAGGACATCTGAAATACCATTGAATCTTTCCTTCCTCCATCCCGAAATTATAACTCGGACCAGAACCGCTCCCGAGCTCTGTCTTTAATTCTCTTCTGCTGCCAGCTCCCCCCCTCCCCCCAACGCCAGCTTCCTCCCAGGCCCCACGGCCCAGTAGTGCAGATGTGAACGAGGCGGCTGCCACCCCCCCCCCCAGCATCCTGCCCTTGAAAGAGCCTCCCCAGCTCTCCGCCTCATCAACCCTCCAACTCATTTCCAGCCTTGGCTGCAAACACTTTTTCCCTGAGATGGCGCCTTTGTGTGCCTCCCTTGGGCCGTGTAGCTATGTGGAACCCCGGGGACAGATGCAGCGGAAAGACAAGGCGTCCGACAGCACGGCAGCCTGAGCCCGGCTGCACGCACCGGTGAGCTGGCTCACACGCCTGGGAGCGGGCACACCGGCCTACTTCTTAGTGCGCCTCTTCCCCGCGGCCCTGCTCTGAAGATGTGCCACCCTGAACTCCCTCGGGCCCAAGGCGGCAGCACTGGCCCACAGGCAGACTCCTGCATGGAGAGGGGGGTGAAGCCTGCAGAGGGAGAGGCAGGTCCGCTTTCTAGGCCGCCCTCGGGCACCAGCCCCAGCGGTCCCTGCAGCACAGCCATGGCAGGCCGGCCTGAACGAGGAGGGAGGGCGGCGGGAAGAGGCGGAGGGAGACACGGCACCCGGACCCTCTGGCACGGCCGAGCACCACTGGCACTGGGGTTGCAACCAGAGACACCTGTGTCCCCACACGGCACCCCGTGGTTCGCCTCATGGAAGATGTTGGCGTGGCAAAGGGAAGAAGGTCCCGGCTCCCAGACCCGGGCCTGGCATGAAGCGTGCATGGCGGTGACTGCTTGCGAGCCCAGCCCCCGCTCGCTGCCCTGCCCTCTGCTCCTGCCCCCTCTGACTCAGTGTGACATCCACAAAAGGTGGCAGGCTCTATTCCTCGTGTTCCTCAGCTTCTGTAAAAAGCTCGCTGATCAAGAGAGGCTGCCCCTCCTAGGACTAGCCAGCTCTTACGACAATCCTGCATCATGCCCCAGCCCCTCCCCATCGCATACCACGGGTATCTCCCTCCCCTAAACCACCCAGAGACCACCATAACCCAAGGCCACATTTCAAACCACCCAATCCTGCACTTCAGGTACCCAGCCCGCCTCATCCATTCTTTCCCAAGAAAACGCCAATAAAGGTTCTGACCACGCCCTCCTTCTCACCTCTCCTGCCTCCTGACCAGCCCTGGTCCCCCTGCGGCCCGGGTGCGTGGCTTGCCCCCCTCTCTGGAAACGGTAGTAACTCAGTCCTCTTTCGGAGCCAGTCACCTCTGTGTATTAAAGTTCCCAGGCTCGAATGAGGCACAGACTGCTCCCCACAAAACCGGGAAGACCACCCCATTCCTGACACGGCTGTGAGCAGTAAGGACAGGGAGTGCGTGTCCCAAGGGCCCTGTGTGCACTGCTCCGGGCACGTGTCCCCGACGCCCCAGCAGGGCAGCATCGCTGGGACGGGGAGAAACACAAGGTGCCCTGGCTGTCCTCACTGCCCAGCCTCTCTCCCAGAGGTGATGGGGACCACCTCTGACTTCTGACCTCTGCCCTCTGCCCAGAGGGCCCCTTCTCCGAACCACTCGCCTCTGTCCTCATGGAAAGCACTCTGACCCGGCTGTCCACAGCCACCGAGGCGGCCTGGGAGCGCCACGTCACCCTCAGGGCAGAGCTATTGCTGCGGCCGGTCAGCCCCTGACAACAGGCCCCTCAGGACCTCGCTCCGCATTGCGTGGGCCTGCCTCGCCAGCGCCCGGGGCACTGCGGCGTGCCATCGCGATGGACAGTCCCTGCTCAGCAGCCAGCCCCGGGCCGAGGGCGAGGATGCTTCCGAACCACTGAGGCCCAGGCAGGCACACAGGTGCCTGGCCCTGCCTGTCCTTGCCGAGAACAGCAGGGGCCCCACGAAGCCAGACGTCCCAGTGGCTAGAATCTAGTTCTAATTCTGCAACCAACTAGCCATGTGCCCTGAGCCTTTACCTCCCGGAGCCTCGGTCTCCCCGTCTGTAAAAGGGGTGGGAGACGGGGAGGTGAACTGGGCAGGGAAACGCTAAATGACGTCTATGTTGTGGTGAACTTCAAACCACAAAGAGCCCTCTGTGTACCATCCAGCCCACTCACGGGCAGGTGAGACTGGAAAGCCGGTCTGCGGGCAGAGCCAGGCCGGGGTGGCCCAGGGGGAGACAGGGGGACATGAGGAAAGGCTCTCGGGGAACAGGATGCTCCCCGTGTGATCCGGGGGTGGGTCTGTGGTGCGTACACGTGTCAACATTCATTGACTTGTACAGCTCGGATGTACATAAATAGCTCCCAAAAACTTCTGCTTTTTTCCAAAACGGGCATTTTTCTCCCATTACAGAGGAAAGGGAAAACAGTGGGAGGGGAGGCGGGCTGAGAGGGTCAATGGGGGAAAGGGAGACCATGTGTAATGCTTTCCACAAAAAAAATAATAAAAAAAGAATTTAAAAAATAAAAAGGAAATAGTGCTTGGCAAAGGGAAGAACATGACTTACCAGGTTTCTGCTAATGACTCAGGGGGTGCCCCCTCCCCTGCACCCTTGCTCCCCAGGCCCCGGCAAGGAGAGCCCTGGGGACAGTGATGGCTCCTTGGAGTCTCAAGGCTGCTCACAGAACCAGGGTCACTCCCCCACACACACCACCTTTGGGGGGTTGGAGCATCTTTCCTCATCACCCAAGAGTGGGTGGAAACAGCCCTGGCTGGTCTTGCTCAGTGGTTCGTGTCAGGCCCTGGACCAAAGGGTCCCAGGTTCAATTCCTGCTCCAGAGCACATCTCAGTTGTGGGTTTGTCCTCAGGTGAGGATTAAAACAAAATAAAAAAAGAGTGGATGGGTCCTACAGCTACCCACACATGATGGAGGACAGGCCCTTACCGCTCCGGAGAGATGGGCAGGGTAGGGCCGGCCACCACCTCCTCCTCGGGCTCCTTGGGCTCCTCGGGCCCTTCGGGCTCCTCGTCCTGGGAGCCCGGCGCCTCGTCACTCTTGCAGGCGGCAGGTGGACTGGGGGTGCCATCCCTTGACGGCAATAAAGAAGCACATGTGTTACAGCCAGCAGAAACAGGGCTCCAGTGGCACCCCATTCGGGGTCAGAGAGCTGTGATGGGGACAAGGAGGCAGCCCCAACAGTTTCCCTTCCTCGGTCTTAACGCTCCCTCTGTTCTCCTGCCTCTTCTGAGCTATTTACAACAAAGAGCAGATGCGCCCTCCCACGTGGAGGCAGATGCTGACTGGGCCCAGGAAGTCTGCCTACAGCGGGTGCCCTATAGATTGGCAACCGAGCACGGTGCTGCTAACTTCCCCAGGGCTCACTGCGCAGGGTCTCCCCGGCAGACAGCACCAGCCCGGGTGTGCACCTCCGCTGGCCGCAGGGAAGCTGGGGTGGGACACCTCCCTCGTCCGGCACACTACGGGCCCCACAAGGGTGCTATCCCCCCAGAGATGGGATGCCACTGGGTGGGAGGGGCTGCTGGGCAGAGACTAGGAGAAAGGGCCACAGGGCAAGCCCAGCACAGCCCCTAACAGGTAACAGCAGTCTCTGTCCAGCTCTGGTGGGAAGGCAGCTGGGTCAGAAGAGACCTGCCTCATTCAAGAGTTCCTAAGCTCCCCTAATCAGACGAGGCACCCCAATTTCAGCTGCAGATTGACTGCTCAGAAGAGGCCAATTTCCTCACCCTCCAGCTTCAGGAGGGCCACTCACTCCCCCCCTTCTCCAGGCCCGTCACCCAGACCCTCAGCCCCACACACAAGCCCCCAGGCTGGCCGCCCTCCCGGGAGGCACACCACACTTACCTATTCAGGGACTCGGGCGGGAGGGGGCTGCGTGCAGAGTGCTCCATGGACGCCTGTGTCCCCTGCCACTCAGGCTGCCCCTCAGGGGCCTGCAGAGGCCCTTTCCCGGTGGCCTGGTTGTGCCGGGGGCTCCCAAGCCACTCCCCGAACAGAAGTGAAGGGGAGACCCTGGTCAGACCAGCCAGAGAGGGGAGTCAGGAGGAGACTGGTGTACAGGGGGGACCTATGTCCCCTCCTCCTTCCACTGGACCCCAGCCTGGGTTCCAGGTTCACGGAGTGAGAGGGACGGAGGCAGAACAGCTGGAGGAGCAGGAAGGGAGACTCCCTGCTGAGTGCTCCCATTTGGGATGGACCAGGGCCCTGCACTCTGCCCAGGAGCAGAGCTGCACCATCCTTGGGCACAGAGGCTGCACACTGGGCCAGGGAGGGAGGGAAGGATCCAGCAGGAAATAGGAAAGAAGGAAGGGGACAGCCAGATTCCAGTGGTCAGACTATCGGAAAGGCATGGAGCTGAGGCTTCAAGGAAGAATTCTGATGGCTTTTCAAGGTCCAAAATGTAGAATGGCTGCCCTCCCCTTCCAGGCGCAGCCTTTGTTTATCAGGGCTCAAGCCTGGGAGGCGGGAAGCCCCTCCCCAACACACACAACCACACCTGTCCTGCTGGGCGAGGCCCTGGTCCAGCTCTGAGCTGCCGAAGGGACCCTCCCGCATGACCCCAGGGCTCCACGGCTACTCCCGCGCCGGCCACAGCCAGACACAGTTCATGCCGGCAGCGACAGGCGAGCCCCAGCCCACGGTGCTGCCACGTGCAGGGTCAACCAGACACAGCAGCTCTTCACTCTCCTGTCCTGTGGAATCACAGGTCTGCGCTCACCACATTCACACCCACACTCACACTCACACACACACACTCACACACACACACTCACACACACACACTCACACACACACTCACACACACACTCACACACACACACACACTCACACACACTCACACTCACACACACACTCACTCACACACACTCACACACACACTCACACACACACACACACTCACACACACACACTCACACACACACACACTCACACTCACACACACACACTCACTCACACACACACACACACACACGCTAGCATATACACTCACACACTCACACACACACACATACACACAAGCATATATACTCACACACACACTCTCTCTCTCACATACTTACACAAACACTCACACACACACACCCTCTCTCTCTCTCACACACACACACACAGGATGCCAGGCCATCCTGTCGGTTCCCAGGCGCCTTCAGGCAGGAGCACCTGAGCCACGGGACCAGCACACATCCCAGAGTTCCCTGCGGCGCCTCCCACAGCCGTACCTCTCGGAGCCGAGGGCGGGCTCGCTCTGCAGCTCCTCGTGGCTGGACTGGCTGTTGTCCTGGCCTCCTCCCAGCCTCTGGGCCTGCGGGCAACAGCGGTGAAGTGCACAGTGGAGGGTCTGGATGTGGACCCCTCCACCCCCCCCTGCCATGCTCGGGGGGGGAGGGGGGCGGGTAGAAGCAGTGAGAGTGGCTCCTTGTGGTGAGGACCCCTCGGGATGCAGTGGAAGCGGCCTGTCTACTGTCCAGTCAAGCCCCTGGGCTCTGGCTAAGTCCCGGCTCCCAGCTGCTCCCAGGGCCGGCCGGGCTGGCTGGGGAGGGCGAGCCAGACACCACAGCCGCTGCCCAGGACCAGAGCCGGGCTGCGGGAAGACAGGGGGAAAGCCTGCCCCTGCCGCCGGACGAGTCCGCTGTGGTTGAAGGAGAGACTGTGAACCCGGGTCCTGAGGCCGGACCTCCCGTGCAGTGACACCAAGGACACAGATGACACGGCTGAGGCGACACACAGCTGCCCCCGAGGGGGAAGACGAGAGAGCTGCGCCCAGGCAGAAAGAAGGAAGACAGGAAGGGAGCCTGAGGGGCTCCGTCGCTCCATCCACACAGCTCCCATCAGCGGCCACGAGGCCACTTCCGGGTCAAGGATGCACCATCTATCAAAAACCCAACAATCTACCTGGATGGAATTGGAGAACATCATGCTGAGTGAAATAAGCCGGTCAATGAAAGAGAAACACCACATGACCTCACTCATTTATGGATAATAAAGAACATTATAAACTGATGAACCAAAAGATAGATACTGCGACAGTAAAGCAACAAGCAGACTGTCAAATTACAGCAGGGAGGGTGGGGAGATCTGGGGGAGATAAGAGATCAACTGAAGGACTTGTATACATGCATATAAGTACAACCAATGGACACAAAACGCTGGAAGGGAGGGCATGTATGGGAGGGGGGGAGTCAATGTTAAAATATGTACACAGATAATACTTTTAAAAATTAAAAAAAAAAACAACCATCTCGTCATAAAGCCCGAGGATATTTTCCCATCGATTTTTAGGGAGCGTGGAAGACAGGGAAAGTCAGAAACATCGATATGAAAGAAACACATCGAGTGGTTGCCTCCTGCACGCACCCTGACAGGGCCCGGGCCGGCAAGGAGCCTGCAACCAAGGCCCTTGATCAGAATCAGACCCGGACCCTTTGGTCCGCAGGGCAATGCCCTATCCATTGAGCCACACCAGCTAGGGCTTATGATCACTTTTGTAACTTATCATAAAATCCATCATGTTTATAACTGATCATAATCATCATCTTGAATATGGTGCCGGGCTTGGCATGCATTCACTAGATTCACATCAGGCCTCTTGTTCGTTTCACCCAATAGGTGTCCATTTCAAACCAAATGCCCCGCAAACCTGTGGAGTCCGTGGGCCAGAACCTCTCTTCTGTTAACCAACCAGAGGAGGAAAAGGGTCTGCTTGTCTTCCTTGGAGATGAACCCACAGGACCCTTCCTGACTCGGTGATGCCATAAACACACACACACACACACCATGCCCAGCCTCCAGACTCCTAGACGCCTATAATTTTCTGGCCAAAGCCCAGAGGTGATGCTCTCATAGGCAATGCACTCGGCAGGACCAGTCAGAAAGCTAAGCATGTTTGAAATTTACATGCTAATTTTTACATTCTTCGTGCCATTTTCTCCTCATAACACAGCTCCGTAAGGACAGGACTTGTGTCTGAGTCATCCTGGTACCCGCTCTGGGTCAGACATCACCGCGCCCACACAGAGCTTCTGTCTGACAGGGAGACAAGGACCTTCGAAGAGGAGGGAGGGGGACTGCTGCCTCCGGCCTGGAGGAGACCAGGAAAGGCCTGGGCAGGGGAAGGAGCAGCAGGCAGAGCAGGGAGGGGAGAGGGCGCAGCTGGAGCCCACAGGGAGGTGAGGATAAGGCGGCCACGGCTGCAGGGGCCCGGCTGGGAAGCACCGTGGAATCCACAATCCATACAGCACTCTGCACCTGAGCAGGGGGCAACGCTCGGGCTAAATGATGGGTAAGCGGGTAAATGCGGTGGCTGGGGTGGGGAGAGAGGGGGGGGGAGGGAGGCGGGGCAGGGTCGGAGGGGGACGGGGACCAGGGCCTCGATTCGCACAGCACAGTGAAGGAGTGGTCAGAAGCTCGCGTCGGGGCCAGGCCTCAAGGACTCCAGAGGGGGGAAGCTCCCGTAAATGCGTGCTGGGATGGGCAGGGCTCAGCTCTGGGCTACCCCAAAAAAGGGAGACCCAGGCCATCACCCAGAGACTCACCGCCCAGCGGGCTCCGTCCGGGACCGGGAAAAGCAGGTCCACGTCCAGCAGGTGCTTGGAGATCCGGCCGCGAAAACCGAAGTCCTGGAGACGGGGAGGGGGAGGAGGTCAACGCTGCCCTCACACCGGCACACAGGCCCTCACCGCCTTCCGGGGGAGCCTGCCGCACGCCAGGCACTGCACTCAACATCCTGACGTCTAATTAATCTTCAAAACAACACGTGAGCAGACGGAAAGAGGTGACCAGGCAAGCCTGCTCGCACGTTCGCTGTGGACCACGGTGGTGTGTGCGTGGCCACGTTAAAGGCTCTTGATGGCTCTGTGTGCTTGACATTGCTCGTAGAAAAGGACGAGGAAAGAGCCCTCTGGAGCAGTGCTCCTATCGCACCTCCCGGCGAGGAAGAGCTGACAGCAAGTGTCACTTCCCCAAGGCCGCGCTGCTGACAGACCAGGGGCTGCGGGCAGATGTGCCCGGGACAGACTCCAAAGCCCAAGCTCTTGGCACAATGCCTGCCACAAAGCTTGTCCCCTCCCCGCCGTCTCTCTCCTGTGCCCAACCGAAGCGCCCGGAGACGGTGGGCCGCTCGGAAAGGCGTGCGGGCTCCTCACGTCCAGTGTCTCCGAACCACCAGCTTCTCGCTGGGCAGTACCCAGCGGCCAGGTAACCATGCCACCGCCCTCCACACCTGAGAGCCCACTGGGCAAGGTGAGGGGCTGCTACCTGGCAGCATGCTACCAGGGACAGGTGGCATCAGCCCAGCCATGTTCTGGCCCTGCAGCGTGCTGTCCTCCAGGTACCCCCTCGGAGAAGAGAGGACGGTGGGCACCGGCTCCACAGTGGCCCCTCGGAAGGGCAGAGCCCATCGAAGAGCCCCGAGACATGGCCTCCTTCCTGGCGCCTTTGCCAGCAGGGGCTCGGTTCCTCGCTTCCTGGCTTATGAGGCTCCTTTTGGGTGACATTTCCTTTCAGAGTGAGTTCTACTCCACTCCATGCAGCTCCACTGCCTCCTTAGCCCAGGCCCGGGAAGGGGCGGGAGCACACACCTCTTGCCTCCTCTGCACCCTCCTCCATGAGCCCCGCCCCTTGGACCACCTCCGCCAAACAGGGAGCGCGGCTTCCAGAGGCAATGCTTGGCCCAGACACATCCCGAAGCACGCCCCTCCAAGACGCAGGCCTGGAAGGAAGCGGATGCCAGGGGCTGTGGAAAGGGCTGGGACAAGGAAACCATGGAGGCTGGCATTCCAGGACAATGTCCTAACTTTAGAGATGAGACTCCAGCACCCTCCTGGCCAGAGCATGAGTCGGTCCTCGCCATCGCTCAGTGATCACACACACACGCACGCACGCACGCACGCACACACGTCTGTGGCCGCCTAGATCCAGGTGACATTCCTGCAGAGCCCAGAGGCACTGACCACGCAGGACCTCAGGGCATTCACACGGCAGCCATGGCAACAACAGCGGCCTTTCTTTAAGGTTTATGTGCTGATGGTTCCCTTGACCTAATTTCTTCTCATGACAAACTATACAGCAGGCAGTATTATCCTCAGTGAGGGCCAGGGATAAGGTGTAATGAGAGGCAGACACTTAGGCACCGTGACCCGCGAACGCATGCTTCCTCCCAGCCCCTGCTCCCTCCTCTGACTCACCAGGCCAAGGAGGGACTTGGAGTCGGAGGCATCGGAGTCTGAGCCTTGTAGCTCCTTCATCTGTTCACTGATCTCCTGCGCCTGGGGAGACAGACCGCAGTCACCAGAGCAAGGGCAGGGGTCATGACCCGGGGACACAGACCCACACCAGTCACCGGGACAGAGGGCAGGGGTCATGACCCTGGGACACAGACCCACAGACAGTCACCGGGACAGAGGGTCATGACCTTGGGACACAGACCCACTCCAGTCACCGGGACAGAGGGCAGGGGTCATGACCCTGGGACACAGACCCACAGATGGTCACCGGGATAGAGGGTGGGGTCATGACCCTGGGACACAGACCCACACCAGTCACCGGGACAGAGGGCGGGATCATGACCCTGGGACACAGACCCACACCAATCACCGGGACAGAGGGCAGGGGGTCTTGATCACTACCCAGGGAGCTCTGTCAGGCCAGGATGCCAACATGAGGCTGAGCCCAAACTAGAGCCCGCCTTTTCTAGAAAACCGAGAGGCCTACGGACCCTCCCATTCTCTCTGGACACAGCCCCAGCCGCTCAGGTTGGCAGCCCAGCTGAGTACGGAGTAGAAGGGTTTGCAAGCCAAGGAGAGCCAGCAAGTGCAGTGGGCACGGCTAGAAAGGTGGCCTAGGGCAGTTTGATGCTGTCCTGAAACACACACAGCATGAGTGTCCTTTCCAGGAATCATTAAAAGCTCCTTAAATGAATTCCCCCACCATCACCTGGAGGAGCAGGACTCAGGGCTGGAAAACCAACGCCCACGGCTTTCCCCCGGGGCTGGCTTCTGTCCATCCAGCCATTGCCAGGTCTTGGATTGGTGCACAAAGAGCCACAGAAATCAATGAGGAGTCGTCTTATGACCTAACTGCCCGGGGCTGAGCAGGAGCCCCACCTGCCCTGCCCTTTCGGGGCTCTCCTCTCTGCAGGAACTCAGACTGCTGCAACCAAGGCCAATCCCAACATGAAGGCACGAAGCAGCAGGGCAGCCCGGCCTGCGAGGCTCAGCAGTTGAGCACTGACCCAGGAACCAAGAGGTCGCTGGTTCGATTCCGGTCAGGGCACTCGCCCAGGTGCCCTGGTTGCGGGCTCCATCCCCAGTAGGGAGATGTACAGGAGGCAGCCAATCAATGATTCTCATCACTGATATTTCTATCTCTCTCTCCCTCTCTCTTGCTCTCTCTCTAAAAATCAATAAAAATATATTTTAAAAAAACACCAAGTAGCAGGGGAGGCGGAAATGGGAAGAGGAAGGAAGTAGACAGAAGATGTGGCAATCCCAGAAGGCTCAATGGGAAGGCAAGCGTCTGCTCCGAATTTCCTTCAGGACGCTCCACCGCTGAGTGGCCTGTTTCCCACACGGAGGCCCCTGGCTGATGCCCACCGCCCTGCAAGCCTGCGGAGGGAGCGCCCGCCTCTGAGACAGGTCCGGGTGCGGGAGCAGCAGAGGCTGCCAGGACGCTGTGGGACACTCACATCACTGCTGTCTGACTTGCTCTCTCCCGGGACAGGGACCTCCTCCTCCGGCTCCGCTGCGGCCTCCCCCGCTGCAGCCGGGGCCTGGGGTGCGTCTCTCTTACAGGACGTGGCGGGCTGGTCGCCCCCCGGGCCCACGGGACTCGTGGCCGTCGTTGCAGGGTCACTCTTGTGATTCTTGTCTCTTCCCGGGAGCCGGGCGCTCGCCCCTCCTCCCCGTGGCCCTCGGCTGCCTGCGCTGGCCAGGCTGCTGTCTACACCTCGGCCGGAGAGCCTGTCGTGAGTCTGGGGGCTGGCGGCCCCCGAGCCAGGAGAGAGGGCCTTCTCCTCGGGCTGACTTGTTCCTGGAGACTCCTGGGGAGCGTGGGTCACGTCAGAAAGGAAACAGCAGGAGTTAGGAAAGCGCTCGGAGGCTTGCTGCAAGTCGGGTCTCTAGGCCAGTGCTCCAGTGCTGACACCTGTGGTTATCAAGCACCCCCTCCCAAAGCTTTGGGAACACAGACTCCTGGCTCCCAGACCTGCTGACTCTGAATGCCATGGTGACTCGGGGATGCCCCACCAGACCCCAACCCGGAGGAGCAGGGACACCGCTGCTGGGAGGTCCGCCGCCATCCACCTGCCACGTCCTCGAGGCACGAGCCTCTCATTCCAGCCCCGAGGGACAAATCGTGAGATCGTAGCCGGCTGGCATCTATTCACAATGACTGGACAGAGAACCACATGAAAAGCACCGGAGTCTAGGGTTCCTATTTCTCGTCTTTAAAAGCCAGCAGGGAGGACACCTTCCTCACAGCAGCAGGTGCAGCCTCCTCCAAGCCCCTGCACAGGCCTGGACGGGTCCTCGTGGGAGCACTCACTCAGGCTCTGAGTGCACGTGCCAGGATGGGGTGCCATCCATTTATGGGGGAAATGCTTGTGAAGTATAAAAGATGGAGGAAAGCCTTTGAACACGGGTCTCAGACCTGCGACTGAGGAGTGGAAGGAGGACGCTTGAGGAGGAAGCCTCGGACCACAGCAGTTCTGAGGAATTTGTGTGTATAAAGGGAGGGGTGGAGGGAGGAGCACATCAGGTAGAAATGTCCCAGTTCTAGGGCCTGCTGCACCCCACCAACTCCATCAGCAACACAGCCTGGCAGGAGCCACAGGGGAGCCAAGCCCAGGCCCTCCACCAGGGCCTCCTGAAAAATGACCATGGCAGCGACTCCACCACTGCTGCACCCTGCTGCTCACACACACCTCCCTTCACACCTGCTGCTCACACACACATCGCCTCACACCGCTGTCACACACACCTCCCTTCACACCTGCTGCTCACACACACATCGCCTCACATCGCTGTCACACACACCTCCCTTCACACCTGCTGCCCACACACATGTCCCTTCACATCTGCTGCTCACACACACATCGCCTCACATCGCTGTCACACACACCTCCCTTCACACCTGCTGATCACACACGTCCCTTCACACCTGCTACTCACACACACTCCCTTCACATCTGCTGCTCACACACACATCGCCTCACACCTGCTGCTCACACACACATCGCCTCACACCTGCTGTCACACACACATCGCCTCACACCTGCTGCTCACACATGTCCCTTCACACCTGCTGCTCACACACATCGCCTCACACCTGCTGCTCACACACACATCACCTCACACCTGCTGCTCACACACACCTCCCTTCACACCTGCTGCTCACACACACCTCCCTTCACACCTGCTGCTCACACACACATCGCCTCACACCTGCTGTCACACACACCTCCCTTCACACCTGCTGATCACACACACGTCCCTTCACACCTGCTGCTCACACACGTCCCTTCACACCTGCTGCTCACACACCACCCTTCACACCTGCTGCTCACACACACTCACCTCACATCTGCTGCTCACACACACCTCACCTCACACCTGCTGATCACACACACCTCACCTCACACCTGCTGCTCACACACCTCATCTCACACCTGCTGCTCACACACCTCGCTTCACACCCTACTGCTCACACACCTCGCCTCACACCTGCTGCTCACACACCTCACTTCACACCTGCTGCTCACACACACATCACCTCACACCTGCTGCTCACACACACCACCCTTCACACCTGCTGCTCACACACACCTCCCTTAACACCTGCTGCTCACACACACCTCGCTTCACACCCTGCTGCTCACACACACCTCGCCTCACACCTGCTGCTCACATACAATTCGCTTTGAAGACTAGGATACCTTTGGAGCTGAACTGGCCAAAATAAACACAGGGCCCCTTCCCTGCCTCAGAAATGAAGCCAGTGACCTCTCCTGAGCTCAGGCAGGGACACCTCCTCCCAGCAAATGCCTGTGCCCACACCTGAGCTGCCAGGGCACACAACATCAGAGACATCCCTGCCCCGGTCACCCAAACAGGGGGCCTGACGACAGGCACAAGGAACAACCCTAGCACAGCATCCACTGACACTGCCTGTCAGGGGGCTGCTTCACTCACAGCCAGGGCACTTGCCTGCAGGTCTGGCAGCCCACTGACCAGCTGCCCAGACATGCCAGGGCCCATTAGGAGAGGCAGAGAAGCGGACCAGCTCAGAGCTCAGCCTGAGAAGTCTGAAAATTAAATAAACTATTTGGAATATGAGAGAGCAAAGAACCCCCAATCAGAAGAACAAAAAGGGAAAAAATAATCCAAAAATATGAAGATAGTATAAGGAGCCTCTGGGACAACTTCAAGTGTACCAACATTTGCATTATGGAGGTACCAAAAGGAGAACAGAGAGAGCAAGATATTGAAAACCTATTTGAAGAAATAATGACAAAGCTCTAGCTGGTTTGGCTCAGTTGATAGAACATTGGTCTGTGGACTGAAGGGTCCTGGTTTCAGTCCTGGTGAAGGACACATGCCCAGGTTATGGGCTCAATCCCCAGTACGTGGAGTGCAAGAGGCAGCCAATCAATGATTTTCTCTCATCATTGATGTTTCTATCTCTCTCCTGCTCTCCCTTCCTCTTTGAAATCAATAAAAATACTTTTTTAAAGAAGAAAATGAAAAAAAAAAAATGACATAAAACTTCCCCTACCTGGCTAAAGAAATGGCTTATAAGTCCAGGAAGCCCCAAGCAAGAGGTACCCCAAGAGGCCCACACCAAGACACATCATAATTATAATAAAATGCCAAGGGTTAAAGAAAAAGGGAGGATCTTAAAAGCAGCAAAAGAAAAACAGTTAGTTACCTACAAGGGAATGCCCATACAACTGTTAGCTGATGTCTCGACAGAAACGTTATGGCCAGAAGGGAGTGGCAAGAAATATTCAAAGTGATGAATAGCAAGGACCTACAACCAAGATTACTCTACCCAGCAAAGCTATCGTTTAGAATTGAAAGTCAGATAAAGAGCTTCACAGGCAAGAAAAAGCTAAAGGAGTTCATCACCACCAAACTAGTGTTACATGATATGTTGAAGAGTATTTTTTAACAAAAAGAAGAAGAGGGAAAAAAGATCAAAAATATGATCAATAAAATGGCAATAAATACATATCTATCAACAATTGAATCTAAAAATCTGACTCCTTTATAAAATTCTTCCCTCCCTCTTGTCCTTCTTCCCCATCTTCCCTATTTTCCCCCCTCCTCCCTCACTCTTTTACTCTTTTTACAGGCTAATTAAAAATTCTATGCTTTTCATCCTTAGTACTGACTGCTTTCCTCTCTGGGACCTGTAGCTGCCTCTGTTTGGGCACAGCATTGTCTGTTATAGTGTCCCAATTTGCATATTGATAGACCATCAGGTGCCCGTGTAGCAGGGACACTTGTGTGAGGCTCACTTCCTGCCCCCAGCACCGAGTCCTCTTTTTCTCCCAGGTGCATGCGCCAAACACCCCAGGACACTGCACCCATCTGAAAGCACTCTGCCCGGGGACGCCCCGAGGTGGAGGGAGCTGAGGGGTGACACCCACATGGCAGAAGGCCGGTTCTCCAGGCAAGGTTGGCAGATGCCAACCAGGGGATGTGCACATTGGCAGTGACCCCCCAGGAGGGGTCACACATGCAAATCGAGAGAATATGGACCCAACACCACAAAGGAAAGGCCGGGATATGACAACAGAGTGCACAGGTGACCCTCACACCACAGGGAAGCCGCCATGGCTTTCTCCAGCCGTCCATTCGAATGGACGGTCCAACCAGGATAGGGGCTTGCAACCCCCACTTCAGCACTCAACGGGAGAAAAGCCTCACGTGCACATGACTGTACACGCAGTGCCCAAAATGCAGCAGTCCCCACGATGGATGCCGCCCAGGCCGGCTGGACCCTCCCCCGACTCAGAGGGGGGAGGCGTGGGTCATGGTAGGCAAGACACAGCTGTGTCATCACTAGGCCCCTCCAAGCCAGTGTGAGAGGGGCCCGAGTGCCCAAACAGGCGGCTACAGGTCCCAGAGAAGAAAGCAGTCAGTACTAAGGACGAAAAGCACAGGATTTTTAATTAGCCTGTAAAAAGAGTAAAAAGAGTAAAAGAGTGAGGGAGGAGGGGGGAAGATGGGGAAGAAGGGCAAGAGGGAGGCAAGAACTTTTAAAGGAGTCAGTAGAGAACAGAGTTAAAGAAGGAAAGAGGATGTATGAGTGAACTGTAGGAGCTATAATGAAAATCAAGTATAGTAGTATATTGGGGACAGATTTTAAAAGTAGGAGTCAGAAAAGAAAAAAGATAAATGATAGTGAATAATTAGGCAGGCAGGGAGATAGATATAAAACAGCGGAAGTAAGTAGAGTGTATGGGAGAGAAAGAGGGAAGGAAGAAAACTTTTAAAGAGGAGCCAATAAAAGAAGAATGGGAAGAAGAAATGGGGGAGGGAGTAAAGCAGGTCCAAGGGAGAATAAGAAGAAAAAAATGAAGGTGGGAAGGAAGGAAAAAGGGAGGGAGGGCGGAGGTAAAGATAAAGGAAAGAAGGGATGTGGGGAGGGAGGGAAGGTAGGAGAAAGATGGGAAGAAGGATAATGGAACAGAAGTAGGAAATAAGGAGGAAAGAAAAGTTTATAAATGATTAGAGGCCCGGTGCACAAAATTGTGCATGGGGCGGGGAGGGGTCCTTCAGCCCAGCCTGCACCCTCTCCAATCCAGGACCCCTTGGGGGATGTCCAACTGCCAGTTTAAGCCCAATCTCACAGGGATCAGGCCTAAACCAGCAGTTGGACATCCCTCTCACAATCTGGGACCACTGGTTCCTAACCACTTGCCTGCCTGCCTGCCTCATTGCCCCTAACTGCCTCTGCTTGCCAGCCTGATCGCCCCTAACTGGTCCCCTACCAGCGTGATTGCCCCCAACTGCCCCCCTTGCCAGCCTGCTTGCC